TTAGATATGTGCTGGTAATGGTTAGGTTTATGGTTAGATATGTACTGGTAATGGTTAGGTTTGCGGTTAGATATGTACTGGTAATGGTTAGGTTTAGGGTCAGGGTTAGGCTATGAAAATGAAAGAAAACAGAATGGAATTCAATGCAGAGTCCCTGTAAACATAGAAAGACACATTTGTGTGTGTGTGTGTGTGTGTGTGTGTGTGTGCGCCCCTGCACGCACACACTTGTTTTGATAACATTGTGAGGACTTACCCCTGACATTAGGCCAACGTTGTGAGGACATTTTCCTTTGTGAGGACATCATGTATGTGCGTGTGTGTGTGTACAGCAAACCACCACAGAAAGCCGTCTGTGCTGATGGTGGACGAGCTGCTGTCAGCGTACCCCCACCAGCTGACCTTTTCAGAAGCTGGCATGAGGATCATGATCACTAGCCACTTCTCTCCACGGACGCGCCTCACCATGGCTTCACGAATGCTCATCACTGAGGTGAGCTCACTCAAAGACAAACCTCTGCTGCTGCTCTTTGGACTGCAACAAGAAAAGATGGACCAAAATAAGTTGCTGACATATTCAAAAACAAGTACTAAAGCAAGCTGGTTTCATACAAGTAATGTTTGTTGTGTGTGTGTCTGTTCAAAACATTTATTTTTACTTTTTTAAATCACACCCCTCAGAACTCAATTTTCTTTTTCTGTAATGACTATTAATGTTAGAAAAATGTTTAATCTATTCATTCATTAAACATCTATTTAGACAGGTAAATCCCAATGAGCCTTGGTGACTCATTTACAAGAGAGACCTGATTTCAACAAAGAATTATGACAACAATAGACAACAGCAACAACAATAGACAGTTATAAAAAGGCATACAGATTTTTTTTAACAAATAAGATGGCCAAAAAAGTAACAAAAACAGCTAGATTATAAAGCGAATGTAGAAAACTAAAAACAGGAACATGTCTGCATTGGTCCCTGCCAGGAGTCCAACAGATTCTTAAAACCACTTAGAGAGGTCAAGGTCGAGAGCTTCAGGTCGTTTTGCAAGATATTCCAGGAAACAGGAGCGGAATAGGAGAAGACCCTTTTGTCTAGTTCAGTCCTCACTGAGGGAACACTGCAGGTAATAATGTCCTGAGAGCGCACTCTGTAGCTGCACTCACACAGAGACATGTAGGAGGAGATGTATGAAGGCAGCAGACCAAGAAGTGATTTAAAGATGAAAATGTACCAGTGAGAGAGTCTGCGTGAAGTTAATGATGTCCAGTTAACCAGTGAATACAGGGTGCAGTGGTGGGTACGATAATCACAGCCAGTTCTATCTATGAAAAGTTTTCACAGTTTTTAAATAGTCAGTTCAACATAACCTGTTGTACTCTGTTCAAATTTTCTATGATGCAGCAGACAGATATTTTTATAATTAAAGATCAATTCTATGGTTTTACTGAAGCTGAAAACTCTCCATTAAAGTATCTAGCTCAGGTGTGGGCAATTAATTTCTACATTGATCCACAAGAGAAACTTGAGCTATCTGGGAGGGCCAAACCAAGAATACTTAAACTTAATTATGCTTATATTGCTTTTTTTCACCTATTGTAAAGAAAAGTAAATTAATTATTTTGATTAGCTGCTACTAGTAACAATAAGAATATGCTGTAAATATTTATATAAATATGTGAAATTGTGGCATTAGTGAAAAAGAATTTGCTTAATCGTTGGCCTGAACTAAAACATTCTGGCAGTAGTGTGTCACTGCAGGTCAGTGAGTCCCATCTGAACATCACTGGGTGCATCATCTACACTGCAGGTGAAGAAGTCATCTGCATTTCATGCTCAACTGTTTTAAATTCTTGAAATCGCCTTGAAAACTCACCATGCAGTACTTCTGACATGGATGAATACCTAGAGGGTGTCAGCTGATGGTGTGGCCTCTTTCAGTGGCTGAGAATGTTGTCCTTAATTTGGCTTGAAAGTATCGGCAACTTTCTCATGAAAACTTTCACAGCACTACACATTTCAATCACATAAAGGCTCTTGCATTACAGTTTTACATTTAGTTCATCCATTAGTGCAGTCACATCTAAAGCAAAGCCAACGTCTGTAATCCATTCTGCATCTGAAAGATGTGAGATGTCATTGCTTTTTTCCTCACAGAACTCATGTATCTTTTCTCTCAGGTCCCAGATGCTTTTCAGAACTTTTTCCATGTTGAGCCACCTCACAGCTGTGTGGTAGTTCATGTCATATTGTTCAGTCTCATCTTCCACCAATAGTGCAATGAGCTATTTGTGAATCAGTGTTCTTGCCCTGATGAAGTGAACTATTTTAGCATCACTGTTCACAACATTTTAACACTGACAAGCGATACTTCCTGATGCACTTCCTGACACAATGCAAAATCATTGGCTCCAGTTTGTTACTTCTTCTCCAGTTCTTTACATCAGCTCCAGTTTGGTATGTTGGTTCCAGTTTGTTACATCCGCTCCAGTTTATTACATTGGTTTTAATGTTGAGTAAATCAAGGTTTACTCAGTATAAAAGTTTTATGTATTTTGAAGAAAACAGTCTTAGTCCGATGACAGAAATCTAGCAGTTACAGGTGGGCGGATGAGGGCACAGATTGTACAGCAAAGCGCTGTGAGTATCTTGATAAGATAGAAAAGTGCTATTTAAGTACAGTCCATTTACAATTTACATTGTAACACATATGTTATTTGGTTGAAAAAACAGTGAAAAACTAAAGATAATAGTGTAGAGGTTTAATATTAGTTCATATTGTTATTTCTCACTCGAATGTCCTTTTTAGAAAGTTGTTTTTAGAAATAGTTATTTTATAGGCTGAATAAACAACATTTATAATCTCCTGTTAGCTTAGCAATTAGCTTAGCCTTAAGGAAAACTTCTGCCCCCTTTCTTCACATTCTGTGTTCTTTTTGACTTATGTCACAGGTAGTAATAATTGATAAATACCTAAAATAACTGTCTTTAGGGCCACTAAAGTTGTAGATTCCTTAATCCCTACAGCTGATTTTTCCTCAAAATTAGTGAGAAACATCCTAGAAATGAGTAGACAAGTGAGAAAGTCTATTGGTAATGTTGTTTTTGTATGTATTCAGACAATAAACACAAGGAGTACAGACCTAACACCATCCCTAAAGGGACATTATTCATGTAATTTCTTTAAAACCCTCTAGCTGATTTTCCTCAGACTTGGTGTGAAACATCCTTTAAATGTTTAATCACAGTAAGAAAATCTAGGCGAAATTTTGCTATTTAGTATTTAGTTTGCATTTAAATTGTTGCTCATGTGCAAACACAGCCCAGCCATAAAGGTTGTTGTAACTGGGTGCTCTGGATTTGAGAGAGAGAGCAAAGTTTATGGATTCAGGGATGTTTTTACCTCAATCATTTAGAAGGCTTAGTGGTCAGCATCACTTGTAGTGGTCCATGTAAGTACACAAGTTTATTCATAGTATTAAAGACAAACTGTGCATTTTTAATAATTAAAGAATCAAAGTTGTATTGTGTGCAAGGTTAAAATTGTTTTTCATGAATATTTTAATTTACAACTGACCTAACAGGATACCCAAAGGGCCAGATGTGGCCCGTGGGCATAAGAATACACTGGTCTGCTCTAGCTTAGCATCACAATGTGTCTAAAATTTTGATTTCTTTTAAAGCTGTACCTTTATTGTTCTATCCAAAATATAATAAGCTAAAAGAAAACAAAATCTGAAGTTTTAAAATTTTGTGAGCTTGGTCTAATGACCAATGACTAGCTTTGTTCCTATTTGTAAGTTACAACTTAACAAATGGAAAATATACACATTCCTTTAGTGTATCAGGCCCTCAGTTTTTTATCCAGTCCTCATAAGCTCTCCAGCTGTCAATGTTTTTGAATAAACAGTTTACAGGCTCCTTAGCCAATATGTTCTTCTTCTTCTGTGGTATACAGAGACAACGTCTAATTAACGCAAGTACTCTGACCAACGGCGATTCTGACATCCCCATAAAAGGAGGCAGTAGGTGGGGCATAGAAAACGGGCTGTCCAGGACTGAGAGGTGCATAAGCATCTGCAATGACGATCGAGAGGCAGGATACAAGACAGAGAATGAGGACAGTGAAAACAATGAAAATGATGAAGAAGAAGAAGAAGAAGAGGATGGAGAGGGACCCTTTGTCCCCTTTCAGTGCCCAGGTGGATTTATCAACTGATAAATTTACATACATTTATTTTACAAGAAATGTTTGCTTATATCATGTGCTTATAAGAATTCCTGTGTGTATGTAAATTAGGATATATTTTTAGGCTGATTAGCTCCATGTTTATTTAAAATATATTAGTCTATTACATAGTTTTATTAAATTTACACAAAAGAAATACACATTCCGACAGAAAAGTTTAACAACCAGAAGGAATGATCCAATTTTTACATAATCTGGTCCACATTCAAACCAGCATTGGGTATGTAAGTTATGAGATAAATTATGGCTTGGTGTTGAAGCATGGGCAGAGCTTTGGGACTCTGCTTTCTCTGAATCTATCAGGTTTATTTGTGAGTGGACCCAAACATACAGGCAATAAACAGCTGTTAGAGATGTGATGTTGGCGGACAATCCAGATTGTTTGAACGGCTCTACAACGAATGATAAGAACCGAGTTGCAGACAGTAAAGAGCCATTCCTAGTTTAAAATTTTTTTCCTTGTAATATCGCATTTTCGCTGAGACGAAGGAAAACAGATTAAGGGGAGGAGTGAATCTGCTCAGGAGGGGAGGGGGGTCCACTTGTCAAATCACATGGTATCCACGTGATGATATACACTCGTCATAACGTACGTATATCTGTACATGATGACGTGAATTGTTCAAAATTGAATGGCTCAATTGAACTGCTCTGTGAAATGGATCGTAAACATCTGGTTCCCTTCAATGAGCCGTTTATCCCATCTCTAACAGATGCTTGGATAAATATATGACAAGCTGAAAGATGACAAGGATCTGACATAAAGGAATGAGCAACGAGGCACACATTTCCTGGGAAATTTGATTATTAAATGAGAGCAGTTTAATTATTACATATTAACAGAGGGTGTGAGTGGCAACAGTGACAGAAGAGATAAGAGGAAAAATAAAATATGAAAACTAACAAAGCTGAAAACATATTACGCGGTAATGGCAATAATCAAGTGAAAATGCACTGGACAATACACTAAAAAGCAAGAAAATAAAAGAACAATTAACCTCTATGGCAATAAAGAAAGGGATACAAAAACACTGAAACAAACATGAGACAAAGAACTAAGAAGAACTAAGAAGTCCAGACAGGAAAAATAATCCAACACAAAGTCGTGACAGAACTATCGGGAAGTAAAGACAACAACAAATGATTTCAGCAACATGGAGCAGAGCCTCCACAATTACAGTCATACAAGGTTTATTACATACATTATTGCTAAAGTATGCAAATAACTACCTGAACATCAGACACAGAGAACAAGTGAGAACAGGGAGACTGGCAAGAAAGTAACCGTGCTAAACTGAGCTAGAGCTGTCATTTCTAACCCGAAACTCGGCCCAGACCGACCCAGATTAGGGCCGGTCCAGGCCATTATAATGTGATTAATGTGTGAGCCGGGCCGGTCTCGGGCTTTCATGTGGTTTTGCAAATCATACAGCACAAATAAAATAAGAGGATGAAGAAAGAAAGAAGAGTGCAGCAGTTAATCAGACTGTGGAAGAGATCGCTGGCACATTGCGCAATAATGGCGCACATGGGCTCAGGCTTCTGCGGTTTTGCAAATCCCACAGCACAAAGGAAACTAAATAAGAATGAACAATATAAAATTGTGTTAATCTACTTGTTGAGGAGGAGACAGGTCCGACCAGCCGGTTTAAAGAGGTTTTAAAAAAGTTGCGTTGGAAGTTCAGATGGACAACTTGTCACCAGCTGCACATGTGACCCGCCCGTTGAAATGAATGCGACCTGTCCAGGGTGTACCCCACCTTTTGCACAGTGACTGCTGGACATGGGCACCAGTGACCTCCGCTACCCGAAAAGGAAGAAGCTGGTAAAGATAATGGAAGGATGGATGGATCAATCAGCTGATCCCCAGCCGTGCGCGTCTCCGCACCTGCTGTCATCTGCTGTGAAGGAAGTAGCAGCATCTACAAAAGCCAAAGCGAGCAGCGCGTTCAATTAAAACAACCTTGTTTGATATTTTTCCAAATAATTTTGCTCTAAAAATATTTTTGTTCATCTGTATAATAGCCTATCTTTAGAGTTATTTTTTAGGCTATTCGTTTTGTATGTTAATATCCATTTGGTGACTTGTTAATAAACAAATCTTATAGCTTCCTTTCATTACATTTTTAAAACTATCATGTCAAACTGATTTGCTTGCAAAAGCAGTTAAAGCTTAATTTGAAAAACAAAAGACTGTTTTTTTTTTTTCGGGTTTGGCCGTCTTATTACATTAATCCGTTGGGTCCAGGTAGGACTCGGGGAAAAAACTATGGGCTCGGTTCGGTCCGGACCAGATTTATTAGGCTTAAATGCAACTCTAAGTTGAGCTAAAGGTAACTAGAGCTAGTGTGACTTAATAAACAGAAGAAGAGCTGAAAGACCAAAAGGTTTTTCAAACAGTGCAACATTGGAAAAGTATTAAAAGTGCTTGTGTACTGAAATGTGAAATTTTCTTTAAAAAATGATATTTCAAGCAAACAATTTACCAAGTAATAAGCAACAAACAGAAAATTATCATTAGCACAGTTCACTCATTATGAAGTAGACAGAAATCTAAACCTCTGACACGGTGACAACAAGAAGACTAGGAGAGAAGCAAACATGCTGAGCTAAGCTAGAAATAGTCAGATCTAATGAACCCTGAACGCACCACTAAAACCAAAAGTTGAAAGACCAAAATGTTTCTCCAACACAGCGCTTCAGTAGAGAACAAGTGATGTAAAAATCCTTGTGCACTCATAAATAAAATGTGTCAAATTACAGATGAACTTAATAAATCCCAAGATTTGGTCGAGCACAAGTAACAAGCAGCAAACGGGAAGTGTTTCCAACTTCCTGTAAACATAACATAACTAAGAAAAGGTCTAATGAATATATCATGTGATAAGTGGATAGTATCATTTGGGGTGCAAGTGAAATTAAAAAAAGAATACAAACAAATACTTTTAGTAGTGGCCAGTAGTAGATTTAAACTCGTGTCTTATCGCTGTGTCTCTTCCAGCTGCTTTGTGTCAGTAACTTGTGACCCGTCTTGGCCTTTGTTTGTGCAGCCGGAGGGTTTAACAAGCTGAAGTGGTTGCTGGCATGGCCTCTGTGTCTGCTGCTCTACTTCACCATCCCCAACTGCTCCAAGTCCCGCTGGGAGAACTGCTTCATGATTTCCTTCATCTTCTCCACCCTGTGGATCGCCTTCTTCTCATACATCATGGTCTGGATGGTAGGTGCAGGGGCAGTTTTATGTGTAATTCTTATAATTATTCATATCCATAACTATTTTAGACTTGAACAAATACAGATCCATATGTCATGACAACATAATCAGAAGCATTATTAAATGAACTTGTGATCTAATCCTTTTAGTAAAGAGTTGGCATTAGTTGTTATTTGACAGAATGACAATATGACTGAAGGATACGATGAATACTCAAATAGCAAATTTAGTGTTATTATTAATATTTTGTGCCTTTTTTAGCTGACAATTCTACAGCTATCAGCCTCTCCGCAGTTCATCTAAGTTTCTTTGCTTAGGTCATCTGATAATTATAGTGCAACATTTTAAAGGTCAGATACTTTGTTATGGCCAAATAAATTGTTAATAGTGGAAAACCAGCTATACAGTCACTTTATAGGGGCGGCTGTGGCTGAGTGGTTAGAGCAGTCGTCCTCCAATGCGAGAGTTGGGGGTTCGATTCCACCAGCAGTCACATGCCGAAGTGTCCCTGGGCAAGACACTGAACCCCTAAATGCCTCCGATGTGTGTCCCATTGGTGTATGAATGTGATAAAGCACTGATCAGTCTTTGTACAGATATAGTAGAGTATGTATGCATTGTATGCAGGGGTAAATGAGGGCACAGATTGTAGTGTAAAGTGCTTTGAGTGTCTTGTTCAGATAGAAAAGTGCTATATAAGTACAGTCCATTTACCATTTACCATTATAGATGCTAGTGTTATGTGTCTGCTTGAACTTTTAAAGATAAACTGTCAAAGTGACTTTTGGTCTTTCATGGTGAGTTTATCAGCAAGCAACTAAATGGTTAGCTCACTCAGATGTGTCTGTGTGTTTTTTTATTGCTGTCAAAGTATAAACATTTGTTTATGTGTGTCAGGTTACGATGATCGGCTTCACTCTTGGTATTCCTGACGTCATCATGGGCATCACCTTCCTGGCAGCCGGCACCAGTGTTCCTGACTGCATGGCCAGCCTTATAGTAGCGCGGCAAGGTCATCAAACTCACTAAACTACACATTCTTTATTTTTACCCACAAGTGTTACTTTAAACCAGGATGTGACTTACACAAAGACAATCAGGGGGTATAATTTTTCTTCACATAAGACATTCCCATCTAGGAGAGACTATACTCATTCCTAAATTATTTTCTGGTCTAAAAGTAATGTCCTCTGTCCACCTTATTCCTAGTCCCATGGTGCCTCGCGTGAATTATGGGCATGACTTCCAGCATGGACCAGAACCGGTGTTAGTTTATGTGTGAACAGTACGAGCTAATGTAGTTTCTCTGAGCAATGTGGATTTAATTGAAACATGTAGGAACACCACCTGTCAGAGCTCAGACAGACGATATAATCATACCACTGCCTGCTGAGGACGAGAGATGGAGGACGAGCTGAAGAAGGGGCTGCAGATTATACTTCTACTAGCAGATTTAGCTACTTCACTGACTCGGTTCTTCTGACGGTGAAACGATGAACAACCTGAAAAGCTCTGAGGTATATTAATATCTACACAATAACAAGGTCTGTTGTGTTTTGTTAAAAGAGGTGGGACACAATCTTATTTCCCTTAAAGCAGACAGAGTCCAGCCAAAGCCTTAAAGTCCTCCATCACTGAGCTCGGGTTAACTGCAGAGAAAATGTTAATACTGAAGACGAACAAATACTATAAAGCTGTGACCTCCATACACTTGAAATCAAACCTGATGTTCTCGTCACTGTTTTCAATCCTTCTGAGGATCCGGTGTCTCTTCTCCGGAGGTTTATTGTCGTCCAGACACAAAGTAGGATGCAGGTTTTTCTCCGTCGGCCGTTTGTCAACAAAGTGAAATGAGCACACAGACAGCTGGGTGGTCTCTTCTAGGTCACATTTTTCAGCCACATTCATCTTAATTCCTCATCCGTAGGGAGGAGATGAAACCCACTTTTCACAGGAACACTCTTTGTTTTGGGTCCGTGTTCAAAACTTTGTTGTTGAAGCCACTGATTTAGTTTGGTCTGATTGTTCTGCAGCCATGAACACAACAGGTCCCTGAACTCAGCACGGCTATTTTAGTCAACTTTGTTTTTAAATGTATCATAATTTCTGGTCTATAGAGCGCACCTGACAATAAGCCGTGCACACTAAATTTAAAATAAAACACAACTTTGAACATAAATAAGCCACGCTTGTGTCTAAGCTGCAGGTGTCCACAGTTCAATATCAGAAACTGTACCCAACAGAATGTGCAGCTGTTGTTGTAGAACAAGAATTAACCACCAGATGGCATTTCTTAGACTTTAGTTTGCTTTTCAACACACACGGACTGTGTGATCCTCACAGGTGTTCATGATAACACCCTCTCTGACTCATGGTTAATCTACTAAATAACCTACAACCTACTGAATGAACACAAAGATTAGACTAAGAAGAACAGACTACTGGTAATCAGTGGAGAGGGCAGTGCTAAACACCTATGGAACCGAAATTATTATTGTTGTAGGAGGTGGGGTGCAGGAGGTGGGGTGCAGGAGGTGGGGTGCAGGAGGTGGGGTGCAGGAGGTGGGGTGCAGGAGGTGGGGTGTGGGAGAGGGTGGTGGGTTATAGGAGGTGGTTGGAGGTTCTCTTGTCTTTGACCACAGTAAGATATTTAAAGTCTTTTCTCTCCTCCATCTGTTTTTTTCTTGCTGCCTTCTTCTCATATTTAAGCAGCTCTTTCTTTATGTGCGCTCTTTCCCCCTTGTGTGTGCATGTGCGTGTGTGCGTGAATGCTTTTGATCTTTTGAACATCACTCAAACAGTTCCCTCTAGTCTCAGCTGTGTCCTGCTCATTTTCTCCTGTCTAACATCAATGAGTCTCTCTGAGCCTCTTTGTTTCTCTCTGCTCTCTGATTGCATCAAACCTACATGTTTTTATTCAGGAATGGTCGACATGGCGGTCTCCAACTCCATCGGCAGTAACGTCTTCGACATCTTGGTGGGGCTGGGACTTCCCTGGTCCCTGAAAACTCTGGCCATCAACTATGGTTCTGCTGTAAGCACCTCGTTCTCTTCAGCTTTTGTTCTTAACACTAAATGTTTTATTGATTTCTGCGTGGATGGAAGAACATCTGTGGACATCCTAAGGTTGTTAAGACACAACACATTCCTAACAAAGTTTGAGCTTTTGTTCAGATCTTTGCAGACTGGGACTAGTTTTGGCGTTATTACTGGTGTCTGTATGAAGTGTCTTCGGTGTCCTGCTGTGGAGACGTCTTTCACATGTCCCGTGTGTCTTACAGATCAAACTGAACAGCAAAGGGCTCATCTTCTCCGTGGGGCTCTTGCTGGGGTCTGTGTTTCTGACGGTGAGTTAGTGCCTCTCTCATCCTTCCTTCTCCCAGCGTCGTGCTCACACACCTGTCTCTGTGTCTCTGTCTGTCTTCAGGTCCTGGGGGTTCATTTGAACAAGTGGACATTGGACAAACGTCTGGGCATCATATGTCTCCTCCTCTACTCCGTCTTCCTGTGCTTCTCCTGCCTCATTGAATACAACATATTCACCTTTGTCAACCTGCCAACATGCCAAGACTGAGACACACACGCATGCACACACACAAACACACACACACAAACAAACACACACACACACACACACAGGCAGAAAGTGATGTTTACAAGTGAAGTGTACTAGAGATGGCTGCTTATCATCATCTCTAAATCAGAAGTTAACAACACTTCTACTCATATCAGACTATTTGTGGAAGGATGACGTGCGGACGTAAGGTGCTTGTTTGATGCAATATTGAGCTGCTCTGGTGCTTCCTCCATCAGTCCAGTGCGCTGGACTCATTCCAGGAGCGAAGTGATTTGATATGCCTTCTCACTGTTCAATACTCACACAGGACTGTCCAACCACTGCGGGCTTCGGACTGAAGAGCTTTTATTTTGAAACACCTGCACGCAGGTGTGCTGCTTCCAAGCTGCTGATCTTTCCTCTCAAGGAAGGCGGGTCTTTGAGACCTTCTAGATGAAAGGAATAATGCTAAAAAGCAATGGTGGTCTGAAGGGGATTTAGTTGAGCACTTTGTTGCAGGGAATTGTTCGGCATTTTCTCATTTCTGTTTCGTTTCTAGTTTCTCAGCAGAAAATAGAAGCTACAACGCAGACGAACTCTTTACTTTCTCAGTCCGAGTTTAACGCCGTTTGTAGAGTCTTCCACTTTTACTTTTACATTTACAAATAAAGGAAAACGGCATTATCCCATCAGTTTTGTTCTAAACAAACTCAGCTGTAGCTTCCCACATTTGGATTAGTTAACTTTGGTGATAGTTGTTTTTCTGTAAATAGCCTACTTCTCTGTAAATGTTCCTCGATGTTCTATTTATTATTTATTGATGCCACACACACACACACATACACACACATACACATATCCTCTCGAGGTCACAGAAACCACGGAAGACCCTTTAGCACAAAACAAACACAATTTCTTGTGAAGATGTTTGGTTCTGCACATGAAGCCAGCGATGAGCTCTACGGCAATGTTTCCTACTGCTGCATGCTGATTATGAGGAGAACATCCTTGTAAAGTGAAGCCGTTTGTTTGTTTGTTTGTTTGTTTGTTTGTTTGTTTGTTTGTTTGTTTTGTCAGTGGACTGCCATGTTTTGTCCTTTCAGAGACACAGAGCAAACAGATTCCACAGCTTTGGTTTTGATTAGACTGTTGATCAGTAACAAATGGACGTTTGTTCACTCGTCTGGGGCTCAGACGGTGAACGCCGTCAGAACCAGACCTCCACCCTAACTCACAGGTTTTGGAGCAGGTTTAGTTTTATTTTTATCTGGCAGTTCTTTACATATTATACAGTCAAACACCTGGACTTGTCCAGACATGGTAGGCTTGTGGAACATAAACATTCGAACTAGTTGTAGATCATGTGCAGTGTGGTTTCTGTATCCTCTAATGGACCTTTAATTCATGATGGACTGTGGAAGTTCTCCCCTGATGCTTCATCTGAGCCTGTTAGACTTTTATGACATTTCAGGTGAAATTTTTACTTTTTTTAATCATGTTAGACAACTGCTAAGAAAAACATCCTTCTATAACGGTATTGGTAACACTTTACAATAGGGTACACAAAATTTGATTAACTACTAGGGAATGCCTCGGGTACAAATCAGGAACAAATCAGGAGCTAATGATAGTTAACCAGTACTTACTGGGGAACACACAGTCAAGCCTTATAAGGGGACTACTGGTTTGTTACCACAGACATAGAGAAAAAAATATCCATTTGGGTTCTGAATAAACCCTGCACCAGTGAGGTCACAGCTTGTAATTGTCAAAACCCTGTTTCTTAGTGATTACTGGTTTTACTGGATTCTTACCACTAATCAGGGGTAAGAACTGATTTGATACTCTTGTACTGCTGTCATCTTAACTATGTCTGAGCTGTGGCCTCACTGGTGCAGGGTTTATTCAGAACCCAAATGGATAATTTCTTGTCTATTTCTGTGGTAACAAACCAGTAGTCCTCTAATAATGCTTGGCTATGTGTTCCCCAGTAAGTACTGGTTAATAACTACCCATTAGCTCCTGATTTGTTCCTTTTTGGTTTCCTTAGTTACTACCCATAAGTTCTTGATTAGTTCCTCTTCATTTACAAGGTAACTAACCAGTAGTCCCCTAATAAGACTTGGCTGTATGTTCCCCAGTAAGTACTGGTTAACTTCCCATTAGCTCCTGATTCGTTCCTGAGGCGTTCCCTAGTAGTTGATCAAATTTTGTGTATGTTATTGTAAAGTGTTACCACAGTATCAAATATCAAATCAAACGCTAACTGATTTTTGAATGTACGTGTTTGTCGTCTGCATTTTCATTTCATTACTTTGTGTTATGAGCGGCAAACAGGGTTTGAACCTTACATGGTGCAATAATTGAGCTTACACACATCTGTGTGCAGCTTTAAAGAAACTATTGAACTTTTTGCATTTTAAACTATTCTAATAGTGGAAAAAAAGTATGTTAGGCCATTTTATTAATAATAAAAGCATTTATTAGTGACCATAAAAACATTAAAAGCTGGACTGTTAACATGTTGTAAAGCTGTGAAGCTTAAACATGACAACCATTCTGAATTTCTGTCAGCGTGAAAACTTTTGTGGTGTCCCATAAATTCAACTTTAATCAGGAACAACTTTAAGACTTTGTCTACACATTTTGTAGAGTTGTAGAATATTCAGGTTTGTTTTATAAAATCATTCTCATCTTTCTGGGCAGATGTGGCTCCATATATTGTACCAAGGTATTCCTCCATTCACAGTTGGACTTGCTTCTTTTTGCTGTTCTCTTTAGGGGTTACTGCAGTGGATCATCTGCTTCCATCTCACCCCATCTCTAACATCCTCTTCTACCATACCAACCCTCTGCATTTTTCCTCAGTTTCTCTTTTATACATCCATTATCTCTCCTCTGCACATGTTCAAATCTTCCTACTTTGATTTTATATCACTCAACTTTGTATAATTATTTTTAATCCTGTCAATTTTGGTCATTCCTAATAAGATTTTCAACTTCTTCAGCTCTGCCACATCAAGTTCTGCTCTCTCTCTCTCTTTGTTAGAGCCACCATCTCCAAACCTACATCATAGCAGGTCACTGGTGATCTTTGGAGATGATCTGTATCTCTTCACTGGGATCCTCTGCCTGTGGAAAGCCAAACCTTATATGAACTGTTTTAAAGAATCAAGTAAATACTGGCTTAGTCTAGATCTGGCACCTCTTGGATGGAAAGAAACTTTATGTTATTACCTATATGGGCTTCAAACTGTCTCCCCAAATTCTTAGCAGATATTATTTGTTAACAGTGTTAAAATGTAACTTTTATCAAGTCTATGTCGTGGAAAAAGAGATTCCCAAACAACCAGGTGTAAGCTTCATCAGATTTATTACAAAGCTTTGGAGAACAGCCATCAGTCACCGAAGATCAATGCATTTACATGATCACACTTATCAATGCTTTCACCTGTCTGAGGCTCTGACCCGTGCTGACTTCCCAAACTGAAAAAGTTAGTTATGTAGAATCACCATTTGTGGGAGACAGAGACTCAAGGCTCTCTAAGACACGTCCCTGTATCATATCAATATTGTATCAATCAGCTTGAGGATAATAAAAAACTATTTCTTTCTGTCCCTTACTGACCGGTCACACCAAGTCTGATTATTACGTAGAACATTTTAATATCATTCACAATCACAGTACAGAGCAGTGAAAATTATGGAGCATGGTGAGTGCAAATAATACACATTCCCTTGACAACTGCATTCCAGCAAATAATTGCATTATTAATAAACTGTATGTTAGCATCAGTCTCTTAAACCAGTATCATCACCAACTCCACAACCCTGTCCACAAGACAAACAACAGGAGTGTTTCTGTATCATGAGACACTTCTGACTGAAGCACAATAGTTAGCATTACTAACAGTTTTGGTCATGTTTTGAATTAATAATAAAAAAAAACTAGATCATGCACTGTACCTTCCAAACTGTTTTTCCCCAGCTCACTGGGGTTAGTTTGTTCTGTTCCACTAATTGCTCCACACCACAAAGTCAAACCAAAGCACTTGAGATGCTTACATTGAGTAACTAGGCACTTTGTAGAGTGGATTTTTTAATGTTTTTAATTTATGATACTCACCATGGTGACGCATTGCTGATGTGCATAAGATATATATATAAATAAGTGTAAAGGTATTTTTATGTCTAAATCTGTATTGAATATATTTTCATAGCTCCTAGGTCTCCTCTGTACTTAACCTTGTTCTGATGTGTTTAAAATGATGTTGTCCTTTGTTTACTTGCATGGAGATACTTCAATATGAAAAATTATTTATGACAATGTTTAATGTTCTTTGGGATGAAAATCTGTTAGTTTTCTAGAGAGCACTGGATTTATTTTGGGCTGGAAATCCCTGAAGACTGCATGCTGTTGCTAGTTTAGGATGCAATAAGCGATGACAAAGTGAGCGTGTTTGCTGATGATACGCTTCTTTATCTAACTAAGCTGTACTGCAGTACTACACAACTTTTCAAAAATGAGGATTACTTTGTGTTTTGAACTTTCAAATGTAATTTTTGATATTTTGTTATCTGAACATTATTAAAGTTGTCTTTGGTCAAAATAATAAAGCTTGTGTTGCAGTAATGTTGTACCAAAAACCTCAAATACTCACTACTTTTACTTTTACTTTTACTTCATGCAGAAGGTAAAAAAAAATGTTTTTTTTTTGTTCTTAGACTACATAGGCAGAAACAATATATACAAAAATGATTTACACATTTTTCAATGTGGACTTGAAAAATGATAATATTATTTTATAGATACCCATGCACAATGTGGCATTACTATTCCTTATTGTTGTTGCCAATTTGATTGTTACTGAACCCAACCTGTTGAGTGCTAAATATTATTAAACTTCTGCATCCCAGATGGAAGTAACCAAAATGGGCTTCCTTCACAGGGTGTCCGGGCCCAGCCTTAGAGATAGAGTGAGGAGCTCCATCATCCAGAGGGAGCTCGGAGTAGATCCGTTGCTCCTCCACATCGTAAGGAGTCAGTTGATGTGGTTCAAGCATTAGGATGCTTCCTCCACTCCTTCCTTTAGAGGTTTTCTGGGCATGTCGGACTGGTTGGAGGCTCCGGGACCATCCCAAAAGTCACTCGAGGGATTGTGTATCTTCTCTGGCCTGGGAATGTCTCAGGGGCCCCCAGAAAAAGCTGGAAAGTGTCTCTGTGGAGAAGGAGGTCTGAGTTGCTCTCCCGGACCTGTTGATTCTGCAACTCAACTACGGATAAGCAATAAAAGATGGAAATGGAGATCAGACAGCATGAGTATATTGATTTAAAATTGATAAATGTGCACATTGTACAAGATGTGCTCAGGTCTTCCCTGTGTTACCATCGTGTCCTGTGGGGACGGGTCTGTAGGTCCCCACATCCACTATTGAACATTTTTATGAAGAAACTTTACAAGCATGCTCACACTGGTGTTTAGATTCTGGTGTTTTTCAGATACACACTC